CCGATTCCGATTCGGAGCACTACAGACGGTGCTGGCTGGGTAAGAATCCAAGCACTGTCGTAGAAGCAGGAGGCAGAATGGCGCTACTATCTTTGGAAACGGAGCGATGGTGTTGATTATCACACTGAATTATCAGCTATCAGGCGTGTAGTCAAGGAACAATACGTGCACACTCATGGAACATTACAGCCGTACGTCCGGTCTCGTCCATTTTGGTATGAAAACACCAGAATGCCATACTACAAATATTATTTGCTAATTAAGGACTTGTCCATGTGTTGACAGTGTGGTGTATATTTCTTGCTCAATTAAACGCATAATTGCGTCAAACATTGCCCCTTCTCTGCATTTGAATCCAACACCTCTTAAAATGCATATCTTACATGCGGTGTTGTTCATTTTTCGTTTTTTACACTTGCTGAATCTTTCGAGCGCGCTGGACCGTTCAAAATTTTTATTCTCATCATTGTGAGAGAAACTTTAGGAAAGAAAGAATGATTAAATTATGACTTAATTTTTTTCTATTTTATCATCACGTCTGAATTTGAATAAATATTTTTACATGATCCTTTGACTGTAATCGTGTTACTTCATTGTCGACTTGTTCTGCTTCAGCTGTGTGGGCTAGATTAATGGTATAGACCAAAGATCTCGCATTATTTACAGTGTTACTAAATATCAGGCACAAAATTAGGCGTGTAGGTAGAAGGTTGAGGCTTTCGGTATACCAAAAAATCAAACGATTTTGCGTCGTTTGGAAATGGCACATTTCAGTAGCTGATTTTAGCAGTGAATCTCTAAATAGAAGTACTTTCACAACTGTTGCTAATGGTATCTTGCAGTTTCTTTTGTATGTTGCTCCAATGACTAAGTCGATGCTGGCTGTGGAAGCAAGTTGGTAAATAAATCAAGTTAACATCATCCTGGTACCTTGTTATCTTGAATCATGAATCACGAAATGAAAAGAAATGGTGGTTAATCGTTAAGGTATTAAGAGAGTCAAGTCATGACATCTTTTAGAAAAGAACTAAAGTGAACACAAGACTTCTATGATTTTTTCCTTGTCTGAAATTTGTGAAGGCTTCTTATGCTGACTATTTTCTCGTTCTGTTTTTCTCTCATTAAGTTTACATTCGTACCTACTTGTGACTCGAATCTCTGTCGCCGATAGATTCGACAGTTGATGTCACTCGTATGATAAGCCTTAAGCTTGTCATGTATTTGACGAACATATTTTAGTGATCCGAAGGATATGCAGTCTTGGATCGATATCATAAATTTTACGGCTGCTTGTTTCTCATCACCAGTGTTACCGGCACCCGTCAGTTCGCGGCAGTCGTTTCACAGACCGTTGCTTCCGAGCACTGCGTCAAAGCTGACCATGGATGAGCAACTGAAGGTTCATACAACCCGCATCGCCGAACTGGAAAAATGCCTTGACCAGTTGAGGGATGCCGCTCCCGTGCCGACGTCGAAGTCTCGCGTCTTACAAGATTATGCCCAAAAGGAAATCTTCCTCTTATACGAGGTGGGTAACGATATTGATCACTGTGTGCCTAGTTATTATTTTCATCCATTA